ATTTCTCTTTTTTCTGAACTATGTTGTTTTGTATATAAATATAAAAATCCGTATATGTATTGAACTCATTGATTTTGAAAGTTTGCAGCCCTAGCTTCTTACAATTGCAATATAGCCAAGGAAAACAAATGTAATAAGAGTATAGAAAGTTACACATGAATGAAACAATTTTTGATATAACTGATAAAATATTGTTGTTTCAATGAAAAGAAAGCTAGTCATATTCAGGATACCAGAAATATATGAGAAACATGGGAAAAAAAATGAAACAATTTTTGATATAACTGATAAAATGAATACAGCAATGTTTAACCATTGTAACCACAAAAAACACTTTTTCAAAGTGATGGTTATTCCCTTGACAGAGCTATTGCTGTATACACCTTTGACTCCCTTGGCAATGTGAAAGTGGATTTATTCTTGAGATCTGACAACAAAGATGTTAAACACTCTTTATCTATTACATTGCTTTTGTTGTCACCCAGAAAGCCATTAATGTCTTTGAATGCATCCCAAACTCTCTTTTCTACCAATGTCATTTGCATCTCCATGTATCTGGATGCCAGCATTTGCTTCTCTTGTGGTTCAACAAACACATCAGCAGCAACATTCCTGTCTTTGGAAACATTGCCTGTATTCAAGCACAAGCATCATCATTGTGATCTAATACTGTGATGAGTTGTTTTATCAGGCCTAGTTTAATATTTAATGCGATATAGGCAAGGGAAAGAAATGTGATATGAACAATGTTATGCATGACAGAAATTGATTCTGACATAACTGACAAAATTCTGATACTATGATGAAAGGAATGCTACCATTGTACTCAATATACAAGAAACTTGAAAAAATCAAGAGAAACATTTTTTGTGTTATACCAATGTATAATAATTTCCATTTGATTCTCAAAAGAAATTGTCAAATGGTAATGGTAATATTAACCATTTCTTTATATGGAAACATTTGGCATTTATTGACTGAACAGCCAGTGTTACACAAGTTATGCTTTTCTTATAGCCTGGTCATTGGTTGGGAATCAAAATGTAATATCTGTTCTCCTCGTCCCTAATGGTAATCGTAATATCAGCTGTTCCTTTATTGGGAAACACTTAGCATTCATTGCTACTCAAGTTATGCTTTTCTTTACTCTCTGGCTATAGGGATAGGATCAAAGTATAGTATCTACCTTTGGGCAGACAAACTATTTTTTATCTCTCAGTTATGTTTCTGTCTTTGGATAGAACATAACAAATAAATGAGGGATGCTTAGCCCCAGGGATTCCAACCCTGTGGTAGTGCCTCCCTTATTGCACCAAAGAGGGATGGTTGGTGAAATATTAGTGCCAGCACGACATTGCATGCATTTGGGCTCCTCATTTTATACAGGCCTTTTACTATATCCCATCACAGTAAAGAGAAGAGTAAATGCCAAGTGTAGTATCTGTTCTCATCTCTAATGGAAATGGTAATATTAGCTGTTTCCTTATCAGAAAACATTTGGCATTCATTGACAGAATAGTCAGTGCTACCCAAATTACACTTTTCTTTACTCCCTGGCTATTGAGATGGGGTGAAAGTGTAGTATCAGTCCTTCTCATCCTTAATAGTAATGGCAATATTAGCCATTTCCTTATAAGGAAACATTTGACATTCATTGATTGAGCAGCCAGTGCTAATTGAAATATGTTTTTCTTCAGCCTTTGGCCATCAGGCTGGGATTAAAATGTAGTATCAGTTCTCCTCATCTCTAATGATAATGATAATATTAGCTGTTGCCTTATAAGGAAACATTCAGCATTTATTGACTGAGCAGCCAGTGCTACATTTTGGTGAAATTTATAAAATTTTTCTATTAAAACAATTTTTTAGGAAAACAAGTTTTTCAAGTCCACTAACTGTTATTGCTCTTTCCACTATTGATGGGGGCATGGCTTTATTCCTAACCTTTTTAGTCGTTGCTGCTGTTGAAAGTCTTCAAGTGATGAGGTTGCTGTTATTTGATAGTTCTTTGTCTGTGATTCTGTAACACCAGTCCACAAGGTCTGAAAAAGGATGTCCCTCACTAAAAACTATAGGCTTCATTCACTCAAAGCTATTTTCAGTCAATGATCTGAGAAATTGGTTATATACAGTTGACAGTTTAGATATTCCTGAACAAATCTGGCACCAAGTGTGACATTCATATCAAAGTCTTGATTTGACAAGATTCTTTCTCAAGTCATGCATCTCTGGTCAAATCAGTTTCAGGAAAAATTTCAATAGAGATTGACAGTTCATATAAAGCATGAGAAACATTTAAATAATAGAAAAAAAGATACAAAAAGCCCTGGATTGACTAAAAGTAATTTGGGAGAAATCTAACCTCACTTTCTTCTTTCTTTTTTTCCCCTCTTTCTAAATATCTCTGTCTTTCTTTTTTCACCTTCTTTCTACCTCCCTTATTCTGTTACTACACTTTTCACTATTATTTTCTCTTTCTCCCTCATATCCTCTTCTCACTTTGTCCCCTATAACTTTTCTCTCCCCTTTCATTCTTCTTTCTCCCTTATAGTTCTACATTTCTTATCCTCTTCTCACACTTTCTCCATCACTTTTTTTTCCATTTCCCTTATTTTTTCAAATTTTTACCTCCCTTATGCTCTTCTTACTTTTTCAACATCACTTTGTTCTCCCCTTTATTTTATCCCCTTCTTTCTACTCCTCTTTTTCCATCACTCCCCACTTTCCTCTTTCTTTTCACTCCTTTCTTCACCTTTTTTATACCTCTCTTATACTCTTTTCCTCCCCTTTCCTCTAACTTTTCTTTTCTCTCCTCTCTTTTCCCCTTTCTTTATACTCTTCTCACTTCTTCTGCCACCTTCCCCTCTCCTTTCTTTTCATCTTTTCTTTCTTGCGTCTTTATGCCTCTCTTATTCCATCACTTTTCTCCCCTTTCCTCTCCTCTTTTTCTTCTCCTTCTTTATACCTCTCTTATTCCATCACTTTTCCTCTCTCTTCTTTTCTTCTCACTTTTTTCACTATCACTTTTCTCTCCCTGCTTTCTTTCACTTCTCTCCCACTCTATTTCTTAACACCCCCCACTTTCAATCTCTGATGCATCAAGATTTTAAACCAGTTGTTCACCTGTGTCTCCACATGTGCCACTTATAGGTGGGACACAAAATAGGTCAGGTCATTTGATCAGTGGATCAATATCTCTTGTAGAAGAGTCAACTGTATCGATAAGCAAAAGTCTGTCAATCTATAACGAACCAACAAAAGCATCAGGTAAGTGTGGAGGAACAACCATTTGCAGGATGTGACACATCATGTATCCTGCGGTTTAGGAAGAGGAGACCTTTCACTCAACCTGTGTTCTTTAAGTATAAATATATCAAGCCTCGGCTCATACAGCCCAAACTTATCACATTCTGTCACTTTGATTGTCTCATCTGTGCTGCCGATTAAATTCTGAAATTGAAACACTTGAATTGGAATACATGACATTTCCAAGAATTCAATATAAATTTCTTGGTGATGGAAATGGAATCGTTATTATTGAACTCGGTTGAAGGTAATATTAATGTGTGATAGTGTGTATCAGCCTATCTCTTTTTATCTTAGTCTGTTTATATTTATCTATTTCCATCTGTCCATATCCATCTCAATCTGTTCATATTGATCTATCTCAATCTGTTCATATCTATTTCAGTTTATTCACATTTATTCATAGCTATCTCCATCTGTTCATATCTATCTTGACTAGGCCTGGATTATCCTCTTGGCTCATATAGGCTGCAGCCTACGACCCCTCAAGTTTAGTTATAATGCTGGTTATAAAAAAATCTGTTTTTGTTTTTTTGTTTTTTATTATGGTTGTGTTGAAATATGTGCTAATTTGGTTTCCAATAAACTGTAAAATAGTTCTATTTCTTAGAAAATATTTTTATTGACAAACAGATTTCTATTCTAGTTTATTTAAAGAATTTACAATAAGTTTACTTAAAGCTATGTAAATGCTGTTAAAATATATCACAATCAAAAGAATATTCAAGATGGGTGCAAACAAGTCAGAGGGTGACTCTGTCTGATGGGGGCCCCATAATTTCATTATCCTGGGAGTGGGGACCAAAAGGTTATGATCTGGCCCTGATCTCAACTTAATCATACCCGCGTCTGTTCATATCTATCTCAGTCTGTTCATATATCAGTCTAAACCTGAAGTGTAACCCCAATAATTTTGAGGAATTTGATGAGAAAAGGAGATTCTTTATCTTTATTTATTGGTGGAGTGATTTCCAGAGATTTGTGAAATGTTTGGTGAGACATGGGAAACACTGGGTAACTCAAGAAATGAACAGGCTGATCAATCTATTCAAATTTCTCAAATGTTTGATTAGCACTGTGTGTGTGTGTGTCTGCATTTAGGCTATAATTTTCTTTTTCAATTTTTTTATTAAAACCCATAGAAAAGAAATTTTTTTTTCAAATCATTTGTGGGCATGTGGGCTAATGGAAAAAAAAAATGTTTTTTTCTACAAATATTTATTTTCCAAAATTAGTTTGTTTACATATAAGTATAGGATTGGTGTATACGGAATAAATTCCAATAACCAACAATACGTGTCTTTATTGGTGTCTGTGTGTATGGTAACTTGGATGCATCTTTCATTGTGTATGTATGTTTTTTTTTGTTTGTAAAGGGTCGTGGAGATATTTCCTGTCTTGTCACTTTTTGTGTGTGTATATATCTAAATATGTCTGTGTGCTTATGTATTATAATGTGATTGTGTATGTATTGTCTTTTGCAAGATGTCATCCTCCCCTGCCTATATTTAGAATTCAAATGTATTTATGTTGTCAAGAAGCTCAGAACAACAGTTGATATTAACGTTCATTCCAATTTAATTTCTATAAAAACAAAATAAATAGAATAACGTATGTATTTTTTCCTTTTTCCTCAGTAATTTTATAATTTTAAAACTTAATAGAGATTAAATTTAAATTTTAAAATGGGTAATTTTTAATTTCAAATTTTATCATATAATTTAATACTAATCTAGCCCCAACATTAAGGCATTAAATAGTTATTATAACCTTAGTTTGTTGTCAAGTTTTTTGAATTCTCGTATACTTGTATTTTGATTGGTCATTCCAGCTTATGTAACAGCGTTTCCCCTTGCAAGCGGTGGTTAATTGATTTGAACCTTTTAAAACCCTTTATTCTATATTCAACATCATCACTTGATAAGACACCAGAGGTGTTGAAACAAAATGGCTATTTTTGTAGTAATTTTATAACATATTTATGTTATAATTTTCGAATAAATAATTATATATATATATATATATATATATATATATATATATATATATATATGTTATCCACAGACTATTTCACTGTATCACAGCTCTTCAGTGTGGCTAGATACATGATTGCTTCAAGACAAGATTGAAACTTGACCAATTTGACATCAGTCAGAGACTCTTGCCTCTAGGCTATTGGCGCATGCTATGGAGAAGGGGAATTTTTAATGCATTATATATGTAATATAAGCATTATCAGCTGTCAGCTATTCATTATAGCCTTTCTTCCAAAGTGCTCAACTGATGAACGGAAGCATATATAGCCATCCACAGACAGACTTTCACTATCACAGCTCTTCAGTGTGCCTCTAAACATGTGATTACTCCAATCTTATCTGCATTTTTCACTGGTGCAATTTTTTTTTTTTCATAGTATATGTGTGCATGTGTTCATGAGCCCCGTTGTTTGTACTTAGGTGAGAAGATCATTAGGAAAACTTCCAGGTGAGGGAAAGCTTATCAGAACAGTTGAACATGAAAATATTTGTACTGGGTGCAGCAGAACTACTCCCCAAATTTGAAAGATTGACAAAAAGACCTAGGTAACTGATATTAAAAAAATGATTTCACTGTCGTTTAAATAAAAGGCTACAGTTTTTATTCACTTTATTTGAAAAATGATATTCTCCAAAATGTCTGCCTCTATTCATCATAAACTGTTGTAGATAATTTCTAAAGTTTTCCATCACCTGGAAGTTTAAGCATTTCAAGGTCTTCCAGGTATGGCTTTCTTTTAAGTACTGAACCAGTGGCCCTGAAATTTTTAACCCATAGCAGTATTGATTTTCTATCCAGAATAGCATTATTCCAACATGAGCACGAAAACCTCTCTGTTGCAATTACAGTGTCACCAGTTTTAAGAAATGTTTCAACAGCAAATGCACAGTGCCAAGTCGTCCAAACCATGATGTTAACTGATGTTATTTGATAAACAAAAATGGTAAAACATTAGTTAGATGAAGACACCATTGCCACTTGCCTAAGTTCACTAGCATCACACAGGTGACAGTTTAAAACATGGGAGGTATTTTTGCCCCACCCTGTACAAGAGAGAAAATGAAGCCAAGTCTCATTGGTGAGAAAGTGACTGAAGACAAGATGCCAGAATATGCTCAGAAAATATTAAAAAGAAAATTTTTGTTGCTTGTTAATAACTGATATTAATGGTATGAATATAAACTAGAATTTGTGGAATATCTCCTTCTTTCCTTCTTGTACTTGAACAAAAGCCAGTTCACATTGTGTTGGCTCTCTCCTAAACTTGAATTTGTCCAGTTTGTCCATGACTTAATGTAACAGTAATTGTTGGTATCTGTCTATTTTAATTTTTTTTTTCAGGAGTTTTTCTTTTAAAACTGAAAACCAAATCCACCAAATGCAGAGTAGCCATTTTGAAAGTGAGAAAATAATTACAAATTAAAGTGGAAAACAATTTTATTGACCCTGCATTTAAGCGGGCATAAAATATTGATTCAGCCTTGGTCCTGCATTGACTGACCACTTAATAATGTTATAAAGCTGTCAAAGGGAATATTAACAGTCATTATTGGCCAATTGGGTTGAGTTACTGCACTCATTTTTATGTGTGGCTTCCCATTTAGTGAACGGACAAAAATGGATGCCTTGAAGATTTGACTGCAAATAAAATATATGTGCAGATATAAACACAGTTCCACTATGAGTGAAATTTGTCATTTATCATGATAAATATTTTTCATATTTACTTTCTATTTACTTTTTCCTGTTTTCTCTTTTGTCTGTTTTTTTCCCTTGTATTCATTATTGTTTTTTCTTCCTTCTCTCCTCCTTTTTTTTAGTTTTTTCCTTGATATTTTCTTTCTTCTTCCTTCACATTTATCTCATCATTATTAGTTTTTCATTCTTCTCTTTTTCATGTTTTCATTATTAGGTTTTATTCATCTTTATTCTTTATTATCATTATCAGTTTTTAATCCTCCTTTCTTTTCTTTTTCCTCTCATTCTTTTTCATTATTATTTTCGTTCCTTTTCTTATTTTTTCCTTTCATTCTCTTTCTTTTTCATTATTATTTCTTTTTATTCCTACCATTCTTTTTCCTTCTCATTCCTCTCTTCCTGTTCCTTTTGTGGCTGAAGAAGCAAGTTCCACTGATCAATTGTGCCAGCTTTTGCTGAAGAAGCAAGTTTCACTGATCAATTGTGCCAGTTTTTGCTGAAGAAGCAAGTTCCACTGATCAATTGAAAGAATTGTGTTAGCTTTTACTGAAAAAACAAGCTTCCTTGTTCAATTGGAAGAACTGTTCCATTGCTGAAGAAGCAAGTTTCACTGATCAATTGTGCCAGTTTTTGCTGAAGAAGCAAGTTCCACTGATCAATTGAAAGAATTGTGTTAGCTTTTACTGAAAAAACAAGCTTCCTTGTTCAATTGGAAGAACTGTGCCATCCATTGCTGAAGAAGCAAGTTTCACTGATCAATTGAGCCAGTTTTTGCTGAAGAAGCAAGTTCCACTGATCAATTGAAAGAATTGTGTTAGCTTTTACTGAAAAAACAAGCTTTTTGTTCAATTTTCCATTGCTGAAGAAGCAAGTTTCACTGATCAATTGTGCCAGTTTTTGCTGAAGAAGCAAGTTCCACTGATCAATTGAAAGAATTGTGTTAGCTTTTACTGAAAAAAAAAAGCTTCTTGTTCAATTGGAAGAACTGTGCCATCCATTGCTGAAGAAGCAAGTTTCACTGATCAATTGTGCCAGTTTTGCTGAAGAAGCAAGTTCCACTGATCAATTGAAAGAATTGTGTTATTTACTGAAAAAACAAGCTTCCTTGTTCAATTGGAAGAACTGTGCCATCCATTGCTGAAGAAGCAAGTTTCACTGATCAATTGTGCCAGTTTTTGCTGAAGAAGCAAGTTCCACTGATCAATTGAAAGAATTGTGTTAGCTTTTACTGAAAAAACAAGCTTCCTTGTTCAATTGGAAGAACTGTGCCATCCATTGCTGAAGAAGCAAGTTTCACTGATCAATTGTGCCAGTTTTTGCTGAAGAAGCAAGTTCCACTGATCAATTGAAAGAATTGTGTTAGCTTTTACTGAAAAAAACAAGCTTCCTTGTTCAATTGGAAGAACTGTGCCATCCATTGCTGAAGAAGCAAGTTTCACTGATCAATTGTGCCAGTTTTGCTGAAGAAGCAAGTTCCACTGATCAATTGAAAGAATTGTGTTAGCTTACTGAAAAAAACAAGCTTCCTTGTTCAATTGGAAGAACTGTGCCATCCATTGCTGAAGAAGCAAGTTTCACTGATCAATTGTGCCAGTTTTTTGCTGAAGAAGCAAGTTCCACTGATCAATTGAAAGAATTGTGTTAGCTTTTTACTGAAAAAACAAGCCCTTGTTCAATTGGAAGAACTGTGCCATCCATTGCTGAAGAAGCAAACTAATTTTGCATTTTATCAGAGATTTACTTCACAAAGATATTTACACAGCCTGGCTCGATTCAACAGGAGGTCAAATAGTGAATGCAGTCAAAAAGATTATACCAATTTTAAAGAGATTACTCTACCTAAAATTAAAATCTTGGATTTTACCTGAAATACACAGCTACCTACACTATCTCAGTCATTATGAAATACCCAGTTTATATCTTTGTATAGAAAAGAACATCTAAGTATTTAGAGATTTCATTTTAGTTTTATATAGATATACATAAAGGCTTACAGTGGGGGTACATTGACGTGGTATAATTGTTAGCAAGTTTGTTTTGCTAGATCAGTTACGACTGAATAGTTAGTTTGATCCTCACTGGGTGATTCATACTTTCATCCATGCTTAGAAAATCACCCTTTAGGCTTACAGTGGAAATGTTTTAACGTGTATGCTTATATTTCCCTCTAAACACACATGTACATTTGTGAATATCTATGCTGATGATATGACAATATATGGGTGCCCTCCACAAAACTAGTGATGACCAGAGACTAGCAGCTGATCTCTCTTGTGATCTAGCTCTAACATCTCAGTACGGGGGGAGGGGGGAATGGCTGGTTACATTCAATGCCTTGAAAACCAAACTAGTTACATTCCATCATCACTGGTCGGACTCTGAACTAAAACCAGTTACAATAAATGGATGTTCTCTTAGGGAGGGTCCATGACTTGAGAGACTATTAGGCCTTAAATTCATTTCTGACTTGAAGTGGAACTCATGCTAAAGATGCAGGAAAATGGTCAGCTACCTGTACCACTCCAGTAATCTCCTGACTCTTTCTGCTAACTTTACAAGAGCCAGATCAGGTTAAAAATGGAATACTGTTGTCATATTTGGACAAGAATTGTCCAGTCCTCACTTCCCAGTCTTGATAGAGTTCAAAAACATCTCTGAGTCCTTGTGGGTGATGAATTATTTTCCACCCTCCAACCCCTCTCACAGAGGCTGGATGTGGCAAGCCTCTTACTGCTCTATTGTTACTTCCATGGAAAATGCTTGAATGAACTGCATTCTTTGGTTCTGCCAGTTCTAAACTTCACAGATAGGAACTGCCATGCCACTTACATTGTAGCAAACCACCCACATTCTCTCTGTATTCTATTGGTGAGAAGTAAGTTCCACTTGAGCAGCCTCTTCTCGCAAACATGTGGAATCAACTCCCAATATGATGTTTTCCTGATCAGTACAATCTTAACCTGTTCAAATCTAGGGTTAGCCATTATCTTCCCCTCCTATTTGCATAAGCTGATTCTGTAATCCTCTACCTCAAGTGGCCCCTGGGCCTTGTACAGGGTGAACCTCATGGTAAAAAAAAACAAACCAAAAACTAACATACCTTTTTTTTATAAATACAGGCCAAAAGTCACTTTACTCATTTCCAATAATAATAAACACAAATTTCTACATCATTTAAAAACAAATAGATGGTAAAAAAGAAGTGGGTGCCTGCCCAAAGCATGTGAAGACTGACAAAAATAAAGAAAATATAACTGTTATATTGAAATTATAATTGTACGATGATTAAATAAAAGTTATTTTATTTAGAAATTTGTGCTTATCATTATTGGAAGAAGGAAAAGTAACTTTTGACCATCCCTATATATATATATATATATATATATATATGCTAAACTATATATGCTAAACTACATCTGGCAGCAAGGCCTCTGGTCGGGAGATTGGAAGTATTTAGGAGCATGGAACCACCATGCCCGGGGGAGTAGCACCTGTTAGGGTCTCAGCTATGGGCAAGTAGTGACCCCCCCCCCTGCAACAGAAATCAACAGTACATTTTTGTAATAAAATGAGCAACAATATAATTTTATAGCAAAATGACAATGCAATAGTAAAAAAAATATGAAAATACATTTTTATAGTAAAACTACTAAGAATATATTTTATGATCTACAAACTATATATCTAAAAACATACCTTTATCCTGAAAGTATAAAATTGTGTTCAAAATATCTGTAGACGAAAGCATAAAATTGTGTTCAAAATATTTAGATTTAAGCATTAAATAACCCATAGAGGTGTTGATATGTCGTTAAACAAAATGAACCAACCAACAATACCTATTTATAGCAAAATTACCGACAATACATTTTATCTGCAGACGGAATACAATTGCATTCAAAATATATTTAGATGAAGCTATACAATTGTGTTCAGGATTTCGGTATTAAATAACCCATAGAGGTGTTGATATGCCGCTAAACAAAATCAACTAACCAACAATACATATTTAAAACAATATGACCAAAAATACATTTTATCTTTAGTTGAAGGCATAAAATTGTGTTCAAAATATATTGTGTTGAAAATATGTAGATTTAAAAACCTACAGAGGTTGATATACTGCTAAACAAAATCAACTGACTAACCGATATAGCCATTATTACAAAGGAAGTTCCTTTACAGAATAAAATGCACCAGACTTTTTTTCTCATTTTGTCATTTCTTCTAGATATAATGGCCATGACTCTATTTCAAGCGATGTCATAACTTGATCCATCCTCAGATATAAGAAGTGTGGATGTAACTTTTGAGTTCTACCAGTGTCTTACATTCTCGTTCACAAATGTGACAACACTGGACATCTTTTGCAGTGGTTGTTATATAAATGCTGCATAATGGATAATGAATGACTTCTCTATGTGTGTGGCATTGTCAATGATTTCTGAGGCCAGCTCTACTTAAACAGACACAACCACATTCATAACACATCAGATCAAATTTTGTAGCAATGTTTTCAGACAAATTAACATTAAGACTTTTACAAACATTTTGAGTTTTTCATGCATAATACTTGTTTGACTTTACAAGTATTCACACCAAATTTTCACTTGCTTATTAAATAGAATATCTATAATTCACACCTATTGACACAATATTTACCTATATAATACTAAAAGTCTGTGATTTTGTATGTGCTTTTGTGGTGTGTTTGTCTGGCACATAATGACTTAGATATTATTAACTTATTAGTAACTATTTTTATTTTAACTTTCTTCATAAAGACAATTTTTTCAATTAAAATATTTTTAAGTTAAAGACAGACACAAAGAGATCCCGCTTTGCTGTTTCGTCCAGTTCTTTGTAGAGCAATTATTTATATTTCAGCCTTCTTTAAACAAACAATATTTTAAAAATATTTTTTGGCATATTTAAAAAATATTTTCAAGTGAATAAGATTTAAAATACGAGTTGTTTATACAGAAAGTATTTTTATTTCAAACAGACAATTTCTTCAATGTTGAAATCAACTGTTTTATAACCTGAAACATCAGTGACCCAACTGGTCATGGATAGTCTAGTTTATTTGTATAAATGGTACCTATTGCATAAAGATAGTGAGCTAGTCATGTAAATTCTTCATTTATATGCTGCGGCCCTTCAGGACATTGACATTGCTCTTCACATCTTGTGGCCCATAGCAGTTTTTTTTTCTTTGTTAAGGCTCCTGTCCCCCAATTTTCTTAAGCATGTAAGTGGCTTGCTGCCTTCCCTATCTTTCTTGCCCTGTGAAGGTTATATTTTCCAAGCCTTCATTCCTCATTGTGTTCAAGGAATTTTTTTGATTCTGAGTAGAAATGTTATGTTACTTGCTCACTCCATCCATGGAATTTTCAGTATCCTTCTGGAGAACCACATTTCTGCTGCGTGCAGTTTTCTCCTCATTTGTGGGAAGATTG